TCCCCGGAGCTGCCGCTGCCGCTGGGTGCGCAGCCCCCAGCTGCATCCCTCCCCTTCCCCCCCCCAAACCAGCCCCTGGTGTCCCCGCCGCGGTGACCGAGGGGGTGGCAGGCACCCCGCGCCTTCGCATCGCCTGCGCGGGCAGCACAGGTGCGGCAGCCCACCCGCTGCTGCCCTGCAGGGTGGCAAAGCGGGCAGGTGCTGCCCGAGCCCCCCGGGACAAGAAAATTTCAGAAACTTCATCCAGTTCCTCTGTTTTACCAACTACGTTGCGCCGCACCCCCAAGGAAAGCCACGGTTAGAGAGAAGCCCTGCGAGCGCAGCCCGGGGCACGGCCCCTCCGGGCTGCAGCCTGGAGAGCCCGGCCTGCCCCAGCAGCAGGCAGGCAGGACGCCTGCCGTTGTAACAACAATAAAGATTTCCGTGTGCTTCTGGAAAATATCAGAGCCAGAAATGTAGCGACAAGCTTTTCTTGTTCACAAAGGCACTTTGTACAGAGGAAAATACAAAAGTCTCCCACCACACACAGGCTGAGCCAGCAGACATTTCGCTCCTGAGACGAAACACCAGCCCTGGCACTGCCAGAGACAAGGGGATTTTCTAGACCCAGACCAGCTGAAGGCTGGCTTAGCAGCTCCCGCCACAGAACACAGATCTTTGGGGTCCAGCAGCTGCAGGAGCTGCATGCTCTGCAGGCAACTCCCGTGGCCGAGCGGAGGAACCCTAATTTGGAGGAGCTGGTCACGTCTCTGGAAGCACCTCACAGGCAGGGCAGCGCAGGGCAGGGCCACCCTCCCGTCCGCAGAGCCCTCACTGTCCCACCCGCACGCTCACGCGTACAACAAAGGTGCAAAGAGGGATAACAAGGAACCATTTGGCCTGGCCCTGCGCGAGCGCTGCAGAGCAGCACGGTGAGCGACGAGGACTCTTTGGCCCTTCTGAGGGCACGGAAACACAGCGATGTTTCGCCACGACGGCGGGCTGCGCGTGCCTCGCTGGAGCCCCTTTTATTACAGAGACTGTTATCAAACGGCCCCCGCCCCCACAGGCTCAGTCTGTCCCCGCCCGGGGCAGAAGCGGTCCAAGAAGTCCAGGTAAGCCTTCTTCTGCGGGGCAGCCACCGGGACGAAGTGCCCGCCGGGGTGGGTGAGGACGACAGGCTCCACGAAGTGCTGGGCCAGCTCCCTGCTGAGGGGGGCGGCGATGACGGCGTCAGCATCGCCCACGACGTGCAGCGTGGGCAGGGCGATGGGCTCCCGGTAGAAGTGGCCGTGGGCCGGGGCTCGGCTGGCGAAGCCGGCCACCAGGATGGCGAAGGCCACGGGGAAGCGGGGGTCGCCGCGGGCCCGCAGGGCGCACACCATGGCGGCCAGCGCCGCGCCCTGGCTGAAGCCCAGCAGCCCGTCAAAGGGCCCGTGCTCCGCCAGCGCCGCCGCCACGGCCGACAGCGACTCCTCCAGCCCCGCCGGCGCCGCCGCCCCCTCCCCCGCCTCAAAGG